AGTCGCAAATAGTTGGGGTAGCATAAAAGGTCTCAGCTTCACCTTCATTTGGGCAATGAACGTGTGCTTTACCTATCTGCACGCATGCACAAAACCGTGACGGCGAGCGCTGTCTTTTTTGTGCTGAGACTCTCTCATCTGCGCTTGTTGTACCAAGCCACTTCTTCAGCGTCAATGTCGATCTTCTAGTCAATAGCCCTGTGTTGTGTTTAACATTGAGTGCTACCCACTCCTTGTCTCGAGATTGTGGACAAAAGGACCGCATACGCAGTAAAGGCTTGAACCGACTGCTGTCACCCTCCGCGCCATTGGGATTACATAAAGGGAAACCACATACAGAGCCCTTTATTTCATCCCAATATAGTAGAAGGACTTCATACTCATCCATAGATCGTTGGCTGATCTTGACCATATGTAACATATGATCATTACCTCTGCCATCGATTACCAAGCCAGCTTCATTATCACCAAACCACATCAAAGTGTTGACCGAGATAAGAGATTTACCCTTAACATTCAGCCACCCACCTTCATTAGGTGATACCACTTTAAGAACATGAGCTACACTATCTGTCATCTTCTTGCCTTTGGCGTTAACAACTACAGATACTCCTTGAACTTGCTCAACTTTATAGGGGCCTTGCCAAGGAATATCCAACTTATGTTGCTTGGGTTTACTTATCCACACCCAATCACCAACGACAATCTTCTGGACCGGTAGCTTCGACGCTGCTCTTATCAATTCTTGACGAGACTTCTCTCTCATATCCTCCCAAGTTCTCTCGAACCTGCTCGTAAGCAGTGTTCGGTTTTCCTTGGAGGCTCTAGAGGCTTCTTCTACTGTTGGTTTGTGCACCTTTTCTTTCAAAGGTTGCGCACCCCGCAGTAGTCGAAAAGGCTTCTCGTTATTGAATCTCTCCAATACCGCATTGGTGCTTTGGCGCAACGGCCTAGCGAACATTAGCTCAAAGGGAGACACCGAATTGCCGTTCTCATCGGACTCTAAACTTCTCGAGTTCATCACGTAGAGAGCATCATCCAACTTCGCAACCCAGTCTTCCTTCAAGGCAGCTACACCATCCATCTTCATCCTGATAGAGTCATCTAATAGCATACTAATCAGAACTCGGTGGAGGGTTTGATGGGTACGTTCATAAGCTCCACCCAAGAAGGGACTATATCTCGGCGTGAGCTTATGATCAATAGAGAACTCCTGACACATGGTCTCAAATTTACGACTAGTAAATTGGGCACCATTGTCGCTTAATATAATATAGGGAGTGCCCAGCCACTTAAACGTAGCCACCAATGCCTTCAACACACTATCAGCTGTAATCTGCTTCAAAGGAACCGCCACTA